TGGAATGGAATAGAATAGAACAGAACAGAACAGAATAGAATAGAATAAAGAATGGAATGGAATGGAGTCGAATAGAATTAAGAATGGAATGGAATGGAATGGAGTAGAATTAATAATGGAATGGAATAGAATAGAATAGAATTAAGAATGGAATGGAATGGAATGGAGTAGAATAGAATTAAGAATTGAATAGAATAAAATAGAATAAAATTCTCCTTAATTCCAGGTTGCTTCTTTTCTTGATCAGTTTCCAACCATTTGTCAATTGCTTACAAGATAATAGGTATAAGTAAAATATAGTTATGAATACCTGGATACATATAAGAAAAATAAAAGTAATATTAATTTCTTGTCCAGCCTTCCAGTGCTTTGGAGAATAATTTGACCCCCACTTCTTTGTGGCAGCCCCTCAGATACTGGAATACTGCTATTATGTCACCCCTAATTCTTCTTTTCTCTAGACTAGCCAAGCCCAAATCCTGCAACTGTTCTTCATGTGTTTTAGTCTCCAGGCCTTTGATCATCTTAGTTGCTCTTCTCTGAACTTTTTTCCAAAGTCTCAGCATCCTTTCTGTAGTGTGGTGACCAAAATTGGTATTCCAGGTGTGGCCTTACTACGTTTTGTAAAGCGGCACTAATACTTCACGTGATCTTGATTCTGTGCCTCTGTTTATACAACATTGTGTGTGAACCCCGCTATCCTGATTTCTAAAGCACAATTGAAAAGTCAGCATGTTGCATAAACCTTAGTCTGCAAAGCGTAGAGGTCTTTGTTAGTCCAAAGGGGTGAAAACATTCAGCCATCACCCGATTAGCAGGGTCAGCCTTGCAAACAAAGAACATTTGCAGATCCTTTTGCAGTTGCTTTGCAGAACTCATTATGCAGACAGAACTTATATGTTAACCTTTTCCACAGAAAGGCCTCTCTCTTTTTTTTAAATTTAGATTTTTAGTTTGTTTGAAGAAGGTTAAAACACAAAATGCCAAAATATTCAAAAAGGACAAAAGAGTAAAAAAGACCCAACAAAAAACATTAAAAGAAAAAGTGTTTTTAAAAGAAAAAGAACAAACATTTATACCAGTTGAATGCTGTTTAATATACCATAACAATGTTAGTTTCCCCCCTTGCGAAACAGACTAAAAGAATTTTAAACTGTTAGACTACTAAATCTACTTACAAATTGTTCGCCTGTCATTATAAACTATATTAATAACAAAATAGTTAGCAGAAATAGCAATAAAGAACACATTAAAAAGCGTAAAAGTATTAAAACAATAATCAGAGAAAGACCAGACTGGAATTCAAAAACCCTCTGTTAACAAACTATTATTGTAATCAACTCCTAGAAAATTTGCCAATTCTGCAATTCCCAAATCATCCCAAATAATAACCCTAATTGCTCCCAGATCATGGTAAGGATCTCTACACCCAGTTTATCTCCACCCTGCTCCAGGGGGTTGCTGAGATGCTCAAATGCCATCCTGAATTTGCTGGAGAAAGCCCAAAGGGTCAGGTAGGAAAGCTAAACCAGTTGTGTTTTTTGGTGCTGGGGAATTAAGAGATTATCATCAGCCTTGATCATAGCCCCAAATGAGTCTGACAGCAACCAATAGAACATATGCCCTTGCCACAGGAACAGAAAGCTCAAGGGCAAGGCCCAAGAGAGGGTATAAATAACACTCACTCCCCACTCCCATGTGGTCAGCTGCCCAGGACCTGAAGCCCAGGTGGTCCTGTCCATCAATAAACCATTTTTCCAATCAGCCTCCATATTTCCAATGTCTTTCTCCCCACTTGGAACTGAACCAGATGGATATTTCTTCCGAAGAAAGGAAGGAAGGAAGGAAGGAAGGAAGGAAGGAAGGAAGGAAGGAAGGAAGGAAGGAAGGTCCGCCATGAGTTTGATTAAAAAAAGCTTAATTCTTCAGAAGTATTCCTTAAAAGGGAAAGAAACATCTGCTTTTTAAAAACAGACTGAACCTGCAAAATGCAGCTAGGGGTGGTTTACTAGACAGCTCTTTAATTTATCCATCAGAATGAAATTAGCAGTGCAGGGAATCAGAGCATTTTGTTCTAGTCTGCAAATGTTTCGATGCAACTAAATCTTTCATCTGGAGTCTATCACAGCTCCAGTTCTGATTGTGAACTCCCCGCTCTTAACAGCCAGTGGGGCTAGTTCAGGCCAGTTCCAGAAACTAAACAGTCTGTCCCTTTGCAGAAAGAGGGGGAAAAAAACGCCAACTTGTTTTGAACATCTCCGCCTGTTTGTTTGCAGGGCTCCTGCCAGACGTCTTTAGAAGCAAATTCTAGGAAGAAGGCCTGAATTTATCCAAAGCATGTCTGCAGTGTGCCAGGGAAAACAAAGAAACCTGTGATTTTAGAAAGAGCCCAGACAGAGTGCCAAATGCCATGCAAGAGGGCAAAAGAAGGGCAGGTTAAATTAACGTGGTTTCTATTAAATTGGAAACCAGACGGGAAAGGGTAGGAAATAAAATGTCTGCACAAAAGCAGAAATGGGAGATAAAATCAGTGGAACGTTTTTTAGAAGTATTAGAAAGGATTTCTTTATTTACTTACTTATTAGTCCTTGACTAATAACCCTTCATTTACTGACCATCTGAAATTACAACGGCACTGAAAAACGAGACTTATATTATGACTCATATAGACTGGGTGAAACCAGGCTTAATAGCAGTAACTGGGAGAGGGATCTTGGAGTCTTAATGGACAGCCAGCTAAATATGAGCCAGCAGTGTGCAACAGCCGCCAAAAAAGCTAATGCAATCCTAAATTGCATTAACAGAGGGTTACAGCCAAGATCAGGTGAGGTACTAATACCACTCTAGTAAGACCTTAGTAAGACCACACCTAGAGTACTACATCCAGTTTTGGTCACCACACTATTAAAAAAGATGTTGAGACTCTAGAAAAAGTGCAGAGAAGAGCAACCAGGATGATGAGGGGACTGGAGGCTCAAACATACGATGAACGGTTGCAGGAACTGGGCATGGCTAGTCTAGCGAAGAGAAGGACCAGGGGAGACAGGAGAGCAGTCTTCCAATATTTGAGGGGCTGCCACAGAGAGGAAGGGGGTCAAGTTGTTTTCCAAGGCCAGACAAAGAATAATGGATGGAAACTGAACAAGGAGAGTGTCGTGTCCGTCGAGAAAGGAAGCTCGGAGTCAGTGACTTGGTTTCAGCTCTTTATTGGCTCCGGATACAGCTTAAGCTTGAAGGGGAAAACTGCGGCTTTTTATTTCCGAGCCGCGGCGGCCGCGGCCAATGACACCGCTTCGAATCTCCCGCGATTAGTTTCTACCAATCGCGGGGGATTCGCAACGGGCCAATCAGTGCGGCTCGCTCGACCAATCCGGTCGCCGCGCGCTTTAACCAATCGCGACGCGGGGCTACGAGTATGTAAATTGACTTGTACAGAACAGAGAGATTCAACCTGGAAATAAGGAGAAACTTTCTGACAGTGAGAACAATCACAGAAGCTGCCTTCGGAAGTTGTGGGAGCTTCATCACTGGAGGCTTTCAAGAAGAGACTGGACTGCCATCTGTCAGAAATGGTGTAGGGTCTCCTGCTTGGACAGGGGGTTGGACTAGATGACCTAGAAGGTCCCTTCCAGCTCTGTTAATCTAATATCTAACTCCCCAAATTCCTCAGCCAGAAAGATCAACAAAGAGGATTAGGTGGGTAGGAGACTAAAACATGTGAAGAACCATGGCAGGAATTGGATTTGTCTGGTCTAGAGAAAAGAAGAATTAGGGGTGACATGATAGTGGTCTTCCAGTATTTGAGGGGCTGCCACAAAGAAGAGGGACTCAAATTATTCTCCAAAGCACCAGAAGGCAAGACAAGAAAAAAAAATGGATGGAAACTAATCAAGGAGAGAAGCAACCTGAAATTAAGGAGAAACTTCCTAACAGGGAGGACAATTAACCAGTGGAATGGTTTTCCTTCAGAGGTTGTGGGTGATCCATCACTGGAGGTTTTTAAGAATAAGTTGGACAGACATTTGTCTGGCATGGGTGTCCTGCTCAAGCAGGGGGTTGGACTAGAAGACCTTCAAGGTACCTTCCAACGCTGTTCTATTTTTTGTCTTCCTCTCTCCTGATCACACTTCATGGACCAGCCCTCCATGTACTCATCCCCAAGACCTGCCAGATGTGGGT